GTTATCATTTATAATGTCACCATCAGCCGAGCCATGCGCGCATCGGGTCGCCACATGATGAAGAGCACCAGCATCAGTGGTGAGATCTACGGCATGGAGCACGCTGACGGCAGCCAGTCAGACACGGCACTCGGGAGCCTGGGTAGCGGGATCAAGAAGCGGCGCTCAAGCCTGAGCCAGCGTGTTGTCGCCATCCTGCCGTCCAGAAGGAGTCGAAGTACCTCACAGCTTAGCCAGACAGGTCAGACAACAGACTGACCAAGTGTCCGAGAAAAACGACGTGCAAAGATTTGTCCAGAAGGAAAAACTTTTGAATGCTGTTTTTTTTCTGTCTTTCTGTGTTGTGAGTCTGTTAACTTTCAAAAATGACCAAAATACATCTCCACATTAAAAAAATGAACTGAAAAATGTTAAATAACAGTTTTCACATAAAAATTCAATTTTACTCAAGAACTCATCAAGAAAAGTTAACTTACTAATAGGATTTTTTCACGACTACCCTTTTGCAGAATTTTGCTAAATATTTCACCCCCAGACGACAGCGGGGTACTGGTGGGTGTACTGGTGGGTGTACTGGTGGGTGTACTGGTGGGTGTACTGGTGGGTGTACTGGAAGGTTTTTTGGTTTTCTTAATTTTTTGCCGTGCCCCAGCTGTCCTCGAGAGGCTTTGCTTTTCCCCAGGCACTACTGTAAATAACAGATTCTTAATAATGGACTTACAATGAATTGCTGCACCATCTTGTGGTGCACATTGCACAAAAGTATGGCTTAGCCCTAATTTAATTTTTAGTTGATATCGCTTCAATACACAATTCAAGGGCTTTAGGGACACATTTATAACATTTATAACATTTTAAACTGAACTTGATTCCTTAATCCGATGCTTCTTTATCTACACAAAGCAAGCTGGATTTCATAAGTGGTACTTTGATTTTATAAAGGACACATACATACATACATAAATACAGTGTGGTCACTAAATCCTGAAGAATAAGTTTTAAAAAATGTACAAGTTTACCAGTGTAACCAGTGTGCTGATGTTGCTGTTGTTTACTGGCTTTGTTGTTGTTATGTGTGTTATTTCAGAGGCGGCGGGTAAGGCGGCGGACAGACAGAAAGGTAAAGCAAAAGGCAGGAAGTCAGAGACTGTAGGATACAACAAGGAGGAAGGTTAACTGTGTAATAATAGTAATTGATTAGTCATTGCCCCACGCAGAATAATAAATACAGGGTCATTAACAGAGCGTGACCCCACATTGTACACCAGGAGGAGCATTAGTCCTTAAGTACTTTGTATAGCAGCAGTTCGATGTAACATCACATTCACGTCCCACTTTCACAGACGCAGGCAGAATAGGGCAAAGTCAGGCACAGAAAGCATAAGAAGTGGTTCAGTTAGGAATGATGAATGTTCCCAGCACTCCGTACACCGTTCCTGAACTGTTTCCGGCACGCTTCCTTACTCCACCCTCTTGTTTAACCATTATGCTTAAAGGCTGGTTCGGTCGTGGAAGAAGCCTGACTCAGTGAATTCAGAGTGTTCTCATGAGCTGAGAATACAATATTTGTCTTTGAATTTTACATTTAAAATTAAAGTGGGTCTGAAAGAACTTTGTGTTTATGATAAAAACAAATGAACAAACAGCAGGCTTTTGAAAATGACTGAACTCTTCCTTTTTGATGCACACACTGTGTTATTTCCTCAACCCTCTGAGTTTTGCCTTTCCATCCCTGCTAAACATTTGAGGTGTGAGTGGACTGACTTTTGATTTTTAGTCAGATTTTCCTGCAGTGACCTCATCACCTAAGTACCATTAAAAGTTTTTTACAATTCCCAAATAAAAGCGTCTAAAGATTTGCATAGATTTGTCTGTCGTACAATGGTGTATTACTGAAATGCTGGTGATGTCACCGTGGGATGTTATTTTGCATGGGAAGGCCTGAAGAGATATATCTTAGGCTGTAGTTATCATGTTGAATTTTTGCAACAAAAAAGAGAAATCCATCAGAGATGCCTGATAACTGATTAGGACCTAGGGTTGAATGACACATGCAAAGACCAGTGGCTAAAGCCCGTTTTCCTGTGTTTGCAACAGAAGCGTCAGCAGGTAAGAAGGTGGGTAAGGCCGGCAGCAGCAGCATCCAGAGGAGTGTGGAGACGGGCATGGCAGTGGAGTATCCACGAGGAGGGTCAGCCATGAACCGACAGGCGAGCAGAGAGTCGACCGACGGCAGCATGAACAGCTACAGCTCTGAGGGGAAGTACGTACATGCTGACAATATTGCCAAAACACAGGACAACACACAGAGGGCACTGTCAGTGTTCCTCTGATGTATTTATGTTTCCTATCAAACCTCTAAGAGCTCAATTTTTGGGGTCTTTTTTTCATTTTAACTCCAACTCCAACAAACATACTAGCTCTCTGAATAATGATTAAATTGATTGTTAACCCTCTTAGGTCTGAGTTGTCATCAGTGACTACTCTGCGACTATTACTTACTTTTAGCACTCTTAACAATCAGAATAGATCATTTTTGTTTTGTTTTGTTGGCTGCAGGGAACAGAAAGTTATCTTTCTAAACAACAAACATCAAATGCTGTTAAGAATTTTTGGAAAAAGTTTTTACTGATTCTCTAAAAACTAGATGGAGTCAAAAACTGAGGACAGGTTTCGTTTGTGTTTGTGTATGTCAGTTTGATCTTCTCAGGGATGCGTTTGGGTGCTGACAGTCAGTTCAGCGACTTCTTGGATGGATTAGGCCCCGGTCAGCTAGTGGGCAGACAAACGCTGGCGACACCAGCTATGGGTGAGTCACAGCTTCATCAGCTCTGCTCAATTGAGAAAGAGAGATTTTGTGTGTTGCACATTATTCTCTGAAATGGTCTGTTTTTAAAAACAGGTGATGTTCAGATTGGTTTGATGGACAAGAAAGGCCAGCTGGAGGTGGAGGTGATCAGGGCACGAGGCCTTACCCCCAAACCAGGCTCTAAATCCCTCCCAGGTAACACACGTTCATACAAAACTAATTCCTTGTAGCACTTACAGTTAAATTAAGGTGGATGCAACCTAAAGCAACCTCCATACTGTCCCCGTTTTTTCCCATAAAACTTATTTTTACCCTCTCCTGACCACTCTCTCAGCTCCCTATGTAAAAGTGTACCTGCTGGATAATGGAACATGTAAAGCCAAAAAGAAAACTAAGATTGCACGAAAGACCCTGGAGCCGCTCTACCAGCAGCACCTGCTCTTCGATGAGAGTCCCCAGGGCAAGGTGCTTCAGGTAATGATCACATTTTTTCATGATCACTTTTTTTATGGGAAAACTCGTTGAAAGAAGAAGCTCTAGTTAAAAATGTATTAATAGTGAAAGGTCAGAGTGTTATTGGGGACATTACAGTGAAACTGCCATAGACTGTATATCTTGGAACAATAGACTTATGGTACTTTCCAATAGTCCATAGCCTTTACAGAGTATCCAGAGAGCATTCACAGTGCTTAACGTGTTCCACATTTATGTTCTTGTACACGTCACATATATAACATTATTCTAAAATGGATTAAATTCATTTTTCACCTCAGATTCATGCCCATAATTACAAAGTAAAATAAGGTTTATTCCAGCTTTACTGAAAACAAAAAACTAAATATAACATATACTGTACATTCACAAGCTTTTCCGAGACGCTTTCCTGTTTCCAGTGATCACCTGTCAGCAGTTTGATTGATTGCAGTCCATCTGCAACACGTTCTCATCCCCAAGCGTAACATACCGACGATATGTGACAAATCGTCTGTATGTTACGCGTTCGGAAACATGGGAATCGTTTGCAATGAGTCTACACTTGTACATTTATTTTATTTTGTCATGAATCGCTTTGGAAAACACTGTCTCATACGATTATTACGTCATTCCATTGGAGTCCATTCACAATCCGGTGCGTATCATAGGGACGTGAAAGGTTACCATTCACGTTCCTATGGGAAGGCTTGGGACGTGGTAAATTGGAAATGTGGTAAATTGTGGTGGTAAATTCAGCTTCAGTTGACAGTGCATGTGAGTACAAACCAAGCCATGAAGTCCAAGAGATTGTCTGTAGGCTTCAGAGACACTGAGATTGTATCAAGGCACAGATCAGGGTACAGGCACGAGAAGAACGTTTGCATCATTGAATGGCGCAGTGAGCACAGTGGACAACCTTTTTTTCTGGAATTACAAGTTTTTGTTTAACCCCAAAAACGAGTGTGTTGAGAAAGTGCGTTGTTTTTACTGTTTATTTTATTGTTTTGACTTAATTAGTAGGATTAGAAGGGAACACGTTAACACTATGATACGGGCCACAACTAAGGGTATAAGTCCCCTGTAATTAAAGGAATTTCAGTGTATTTTATTAGAAATTAGAATGTGATTTGATTTGCTTACAAATACTTAGTTGCAATCAGGTTTTTACAGGAAACAAAGACATAATTAACTGTAAGTAAAATGAAATGGTAAGCAAGTCATTTGAAGTGATGAAGTGAAGCATAAAGCATTTTAAAATCTTTTATTATGAGCATTTTGTTTTCCTTTGTGCGTTGAACCTGGAAATCTGTAAGGTTATGTGTTGTGGTGATTGTACCTTTGTCTTTTCAGTCAATCCTAAATCAATTCATCTGCCGTTCTTTCCTCCAGGTGATAGTGTGGGGTGACTATGGACGATTGGACCACAAATGTTTCATGGGTGTAGCACAGATACTGTTGGAGGAGCTGGACCTCTCTAGTACGGTGATCGGCTGGTACAAACTTTTTCCACCATCCTCCCTGGTGGACCCTACATTAGCTCCGCTCACACGGCTGGCGTCTCAGACGTCACTGGACAGCTCAGGACCGCCGCCGGGCGTTCGGTCCTAGTGACCGGACGGTGACCGCCTACCCCTCAACACCCCTTAAGTGACAAAATAGAATAATGGACCACAGCTACTGGACCACTACTGAGCAGAGGGGTGACAACACGCCCCGAGGATGTCGACGAGAAGCCCTCTTTCAAATGATGAAAAGCCAGACGGAGAGACAGGGAATGCGAGTGAGAAAGAGAGGGAGAGATAGAACTAGCCAATCAAAGCTTAGCTGGAGTCTGACAATCACGTCTCACACCTTCCCTCTCCCTCCTCCTTACACCTTTTTGTGTTCAAAGTTTTGCTTTCTTTGTTTTCTCCTCTGACCTGCAGCAGTGGAGGCTTCTGTCCAACATTGTTTTCTTTTTCTGTATTTCCTTGTGCAGCCACTATCAGAGCACCCAAACAAAGTGGGGTTCTCCGCCTAGTAACCCTCCAGCCAATCAGAGTAGAGCTTACAGCCAGGCCACAGGGAAAAGTGTGGAAGTAGCAAATAGTTGCGGCTTCACAGGTTTGGCTGTTGTCTCTTCAGGTTTTACCGTGGCGATAGTGATGAGCTCAAGGGGACAGAGGGTTGGTCCCGTTTAACCGTGATGGAAAGGGAGCCTGCACATGCACTCGCACATTCTTAGCCTTGACAGGAAAAGCTGGACTCGTTCATTCGAATCGAGGCCAAACCTTTTCCGTGTGGAAAGAAAACATAGACCAAATTGCGGATTCGAATTTCACTTTTGATTTTGGATCTTTTGTTTTTTCCTGCCTTTGTTTTTGCCCACTGTCCAGAATGGTGCCACATGGTGCAGACTCCCTCTGTGTATGTCTATGTTTGGTTTTTGAGCGATGGCATGCCAAAGGCCAATGACAAAGGCCAGGCCACATTTCTTTGAATACCCTCCGCCCGACCGCCACCGCCCGTCTCCTCCCCTCCCCAAACCCCTCGAACTCCCCCTGTGGGAGGGAGCAGCATGACTCGGGGACGCCCCCTCCCCGGCCCCCAAGCTGCATGCACGTTTCTTTCATTCCGTTTCGTTTTTTCGGTTCGTTTCTCTACTTTTTTGTAAAATCGAAAGACGAGACAAATTAAGGAACAATTCTCAAAAAAACAAAAACAGAAAAAAAGACTAGACTATGTGTGTTAGTTCCACATACTTTTAGGCCAGCTTGTATGTTGCATGTTCTTGTACAGTTTGCTCGTACTGAATATGAATACAAACCGAGAAAAGCCAAGCCATCCCCGCCCCCTAACAAGAGCGGATCTAATGGGGGGGAGGGTGACAATCCCACCCAGGCCTCGCCTACCACTCTGGGTCTAAATATCCGTATTAGGAAGTCTCCAAAAGAAAAAAAGAAATTGTCTGAATTATTTTTTTCTTTGAACCCTTTGAACAACAGTGCTGTTCTGTAGTACTGAGCATACTCGAACCCCTGGCGTATCCGAGGATGTAGGTGTCTAAACTGTAGTTTATGACGGTCGGGGCTAGAGACAGAGATAGAGAATGTGTGTATAACAGCTAAATGTATATGAAGTATCATTATGAGTTTGATATAAATTATAAAGATATAGATATATGAATATAAAAAAGAGTGTATCTGACTGTACACCCGTCACCAATACACGCAGACATGCACACTTTGTACATACAAATTAGGCTTGAACTTAAGTTATGAACGAACAAACGCATCGCTGACACACAAACATTCCTGGTCTTGTTGAGGGGAATACGCGCCCAGTGCTTGAGCTGCTGAGTGGCTACGAGACACAAGTGGGCGCCAATAGGCCTTTATTTTGATTTTGTCCCAGTTGCAGAAAAACAAGCAGAACCAATTGGAGCAAAGTTTACTTTCTCTTCCTGAAAACCATGTTTTTCTCCCCCTGTTTATTGGTTTGGACTGGACTTCTAAAGCCAACAAGAAACCTGGTTTTGCAGACATATTTTGCAGATGTTTTTTTGTTGAAGCACTTGGCGGTACGGCCGACTGCCCCTTTCCTTTGTCAGTATTACTCCAGGAATACTGATTGTTTACAGCCCATGGCTCCCCACTCCCAAACCACGATACTAGACGAAAGATGAAGTATTCACTGCAACAGTTCTTGTTTGTATAACAGATGTGGCTCTACTGATGTGTATGTTTTATATTCAAGAGTTCATTTTTATTATTTACAAATAAAAGACTGTGTGGAAGAAGAGCGTGGTCGTTTTGAACCCAGTGCTCCCAGGTTATTGTGTACCTGATGACTAAAGGCACATGTCATATGCTGAATGTGATTTTTTTTTTTATATAGGTTTCTTCACAATTTCAGAAGCACAAACTTGGTGAATGGTGGTAATGAGCAACATGATGGTACACTTGTGTCTTAACTGTCTCACTTTTAGATCCAGCCCCAAGTGGCTATAAATATGCTTCAATAAGGAGGTCATTTGGAATTATTGAGCATAATTTTTCGAGTTGCAGAAATGAATTAAGCTTTTGGGCGATTAGTCTCTGATGACCCATCACTGCAGAATGCAATGCCAGTGGTAACTGGAATCAGGACAGGACCCCCTGGAGTCCAGTTAATGGTGGTGATGAAGATGAAGATGGAGGGTTGGATGGAGCTCTGAGTGACCAGGGCAAGGCGAAAACTGAGAAGGAGGTGAGTTGCACAAAATGACAGAGGAGCACTGAGATAGAAAGTATGCAGAGTGCGGGTTGATTGGCATCTAAGGCAGGCAAGAAGATGGCTGGACCTGACCAATGATGTCAGCATTAAGTTGACAGTGCGACAAAGTGGAAGTGATGCAAAGAACAGCGGCCTGGCCCTAATTGCCACCCCCATTGTTAAATGATGAATTAATTGTCATTAACCACATTTTTTTGAAAGCTGAGTTCACTTTCACTAGCCGCACGCCAGAAAGAAAGCTGCCTGATAAAGTGAAGCCGTCTAGAAGAGAGAAAAGCAATGCACCATGTCACAATCTAAAGAAAAGGCTAGGACACAAAGTCATTGACAGCTCTCAGTCCGGAAGGGGTTTCAAAGGCATGTCTAAGGTTTTGAGACTCCAGTGAAACAGTGTGAGCCATTACCCACAAATGGAGAAAACCTGGAAGAGTGGTGAGTCTTTGCTGGAGTGGCCAACCGAGGAGGTCACAAAGGAACCCAGAACAACATCCAAAGAACTTCAGGCCTCACTTTTCTCAGCTATGGTCAGTGTCAGCGCAAAAATGGGAGAGTTCATGGCTCGTCACATTTTACAAAAAAACTTCTTTTTTTTTTGCGCCTTTGCGCAATTTAGAATCAGCAGTTAACCTAACCCCACTAGGTGCATGTCTTTGGACTGTGGTAGGAAGCTGGAGTACCTGGAGAGAACCCACGGAAACACAAGGAGAACATGCACGAGCCACACAGAAAGAACCCGGTGTGAACAGTAACAGTGCCAAAAGTCTAGTTTATTTAACAAAAATTTATTTTGACTTCTAGTTCTAGTTTTTAATTTAGTGTTAGTTAAGTATAAAAACCTTGTTACACACTAAACTTTGAGCTGATATGAAGGAGGTGCATGTACGAGATCAGAGGATGGAAAGTTCTCTGACGCATTTATGATTGATTGATAGCAAACAATACATCCAGCCTCCTGAGCAAATACCGTCTTTACACTCAGCCTGTGTCATGATTTCATTTTCATTTCTCATGGGTTTTGTTTTCACTGGCCACAAAACAAATAGTCTGGCTTTTTTTTTTATTTCACAATTGAACTCATAAAGTTACTAAACTACTTGACACACATACAGTCCGGTGTACGTTAGTGAAAGAAGCGCTTGAGCCCTAGGTGCAACATTCGTAACTCTTTAGTGCCATCTAGTGGTGACTTGAAACGAATCAATTTGCAAATCTGGCAGAAACATTGGATCTCATCATTTTCCCTCTGTCAGGCGTGGTTTACACTAAGACAGGTGATGCACTGTGCTGACAAATATTTCAGAGACGAATATAAATGAAAACAGTTTGAAAATTATGCCATGCCTGTAAAGTACACACAGTATGCGTTCAGCTTGTATACATATACTGTACATTTTGATAGTTTCTTTTGCAAAGTACTTTTTTCTGTTCTTTTACATAAAAATGCTACTTTGTGAATCCCGATCCCAAAGCTCCCATAAAATTCATTCAAAATACTAAATGCCTCATATAGTGACATACTCACACGAACAAGTGACTAATTAAAGGAAAAAACGCCTCAAGCTCTCATTAAGGTTTTTTTGTTTTGTTTTGTTTTTTTTTTATCACCAAAACGTGTAAGTGGAACAGCTACAATGTGAAAACGGACTCACCAAGTTTGTGGAAGTCCACCCGAGGGACGGAACACCATTCATCAGAAGACAGATTTTCATCCTGGATGAGAGCACTCCCATCAGGACAGAAATGATGAAAGTGATGGCTCCAAACAAATTTGTACACATTTGCAGTGATGATTCACCTCTGGGGGGCAGGTGGAGCCAAAAAGCATTAAAAAGCAAAACATTTTTGCTTGTGAGTTTTATTTTTGCGCCACTGTTCTGAGCCTTTGATCGGAGGAATACAGACTTACTGAGTTTCAATCCCTGTTGTGCTGTTATATGACATATATGCTTAGCATGTGTCAAACTCAGTGCAATAAACAAACAAAAAGAGGCAATAATAAAAACGGCAAGAGAAGCAAGATTTCATTACATTTTATTCTGTTAAAATGACCGAGTGTTGCATCTGTGGTGTTATGGCACAAACTGGTCTCATATACAGATTGCAGATGAGAAAAGTCCATTTAGCTTCCTAAAACACAAGTCTACAGTTTGCACTGCAGTGAGACAAAAAACTAAAATTCTTCCATTCCTGGTGGGCTCCTGGTTCCACAAATAAAAACAAAAAAGTTTGTGTCTCTCAGTAATAAAATAAATAACAATGTAGACAAGAAGCCAAAGATAAGGAGTGAAATTTCATGTCTTTATCACAAGTCCCAGTCAGATCACCTGTCCGGCAATCTTTTAAATGACGCCGCCAATCAGCAGCCACGTGTAAATTTAACATATTAAGATTTGGTCGGTCTGATCCAATAGCCCCCCCCCCTGTTTTTTCTTTATTATTAATAATATAATTGTGGTTTCTCTATGCTTTTATTGACCACGTCGTGACTTTATTTTGGAAAGTGCTCGGCCTTGATAAGCACGAGCCACACGCCGTAATAACCAGGACACTGGGCTGCTTCCATCTGCTGCTCTAACCTGAGTGAGTGTGGTCACCTCCTCTTCTGCTGGACGCAGTTCCGCTGTGAGGAGGAGGAGGGCCTGTGGAATGTTACAATATAACGTATAATTGAGCACTTTTGATAATGATATGTTGTCAGCCGTGGCGCGTCGTCCTCTGAGACGCAGTCTGCGAACACACAAGTTATTTTCTTTTTTGTGTGTGTTCGCAGTCAGCTGATTGGGGAAGTGTGACGGCCGCTGGTTAACAGGCACACTGAAACAGAAGGGTGTCATGTCACATTAGATTTGTCATGCAGCCTCACTCCACCAGCCCCAGCCTCACACACACACACACACACACACTGCTCCCCTCGGTGGTAATGGTTTGAAACCCACCCACCCCTCGTGGAGGACTGTATGTCAGCGCTCCAGAGCTCATTAGAAAGTCGGTGCCGTGAGATCAGTCCTTACGCACTGCTCCCCGCTCCTTCAGCCGGGCCGCACCGCCGCTGTGGGTACAGCTCTGGCCTCCTCTGCCTCACACCCCTTCTTTCTGTGCGGCTTTTGCAAAATATTGATATTCATTTAAAAAAAAATAAAGAGGAAAAAAGCAGGATTTATCATTGCAAGCTCTCCGATGAGCGGGCCCAATTTATGGCGTATGCTATCATTTAGCCTCTGATCACGATTTCTTAGTAATGATAATAATAATAACAATAATATACAAGACTTAAAATGTATATAAAATATTTGAAAATATTTTATTATAATAATAAAATATTTTTACAGATTTTTCAGAGCACAATTTGACAGCTCACCGCACAGATACCTTTACTTGAAATATTCATTTATAAAACCTTCAAAACAATTAAAATTAGGCGCTTTAAAAAATCTAATAAGAATAATATGATCATAAACGGCTCATTTAACCGTTAAGCTGTGTTTTCAGTGAAGATGAGCAGATAGCAGAAAGGTGAGCTTGTTTGTGGTTTTGTTTCCAGATTTCTGAGGTTTTATTTGTTATTAATTTTTTTCTTTAAAAAAATTCCTGAAAAACAAACTAAACAAAAACGACATTTGAGATTCTCTGTTCTTGCTTGAACAGCAGCTCTCACGCTGCTGCTTCTCTTCTTAAGTTTCTAATCTTTGAATGATTTCATTGATTTGAGGCATCAGTGAATTTATATTTATATTACGTTAAAAAAAAACCAAAAAAACATGAATAAAACTGTTTTTATCAGAAAGTAAAATCACCTAATTATTTGTCCAAAACGTATTTTCCTACTATTAATATGATAAAAAACAAAAACAAATAAAGCAAATACTATTTGTATTTATTTATTTTCATTTGAAATAAATCTCCATTATATTTCTATCCTGAGTCTCCGGGCCCTCTGCGCTTTGTAAAGCGGGGGTCCCTTATATATTCTCACTCGCTCTCATACTGATCGCAATTGGACACAAGGGGGCGCTCGAGTCCTTGTTTGGACACAATAAAGAAGGCGAGCGACCGCAACTGGAAGCTTGTTGATTTAAATGGCGGTCTTTATGCTGTTATGTCACAGCGATCATGGAGTTTGTGGTTTTATTCACCCCGACATAAAACACATCAGCCAGGCTTCGTTCACTTCAAGCGCATGCGCTGCCGGGTTCATTCTGATCAGGAAAAGGTGAGTGTCAGAGACTGACGAAGCTAGTCGCTGTTTGAACCCTAATCAGCACCGTCCTCATACACCATCCAAACACACACCATGCACCCATACAGCTCTTCATTTAAAGCAGCTTTGAAGTTTGTTGGAGTTTAGTTTTGCATGTTTCCTCCAGTGTGAGTCAGTCAATGAGCTGTTTCCAATAATACTTGGTCCTAAATTACTTTCCAAATGACTTTGGATTATTTGTCAGCTTTCTGCAGTCGAGTCTTAAAATGGTGCTAGTCTGACATTACTGACATCCCTCCCTGCATCTGCAGGCCCGGAGACAGACGAATAA